CCCCAAAACCCCAAAACCCCAAAACCCCGGGAAAGAGTTAATAAATTGAAAGATAAGTTTTAAAAAACCAAACTTTGTTATATATTCCTTCAGATTATAAAACTTATGAGGTACTAAGCTTCTCTAAATTATTTTCTTGACTTACTTACTAATCATAATCATCATAGTATTCTCTCGTTTCAATCTCAACATTATCTAAAATACTAACACACAAAATTACTTCCTAAAGATTAGCTAGCTAAGCGTACCAAACTTGACTTCTATGCGACTGAATTTGCTCTCTAGAGCGCTTTGTTCAGTATCATATATGTGAACCCAGTCAAAACTGATTTTCTTAGTGATTATTCCTTCAAGATTATTTATTGTGTCTAAATACCCGCTTATGTAGTTTGATTTAGAGGAGAATTCAAGTACTATTGTCTCAAGCCCACGAGGAACTGAGGATGTGACAAGGCTGTGAAATACATCTATAGAATAATGAACATCGACATTCTCGAACTAATGTTCTATTATAACCAAGAGTAAATATATTTAGCAAATGCTGTTAACAAGAATAAGGTATATAACATAACAATATGAGGGAATGCATCAGATTATTTAATTTACTATAACATTGGCAGCTAATTCAAGTTCTAATTTTGTGAATAAAAATTAAATATGATACTAATATAATTCGATCTGAAATTGAGAATATCTTCAAATGAGTAAAAATGAGGATAATTTTGTTACCAGATTCGACACTCGGGATATTATACAACAAGATTTCTTTGAGATTTTCTCCAACTTCTTTGCTCATTGTCTTCATTCTCTTTCTGTCATATTCTTTACCAAGGTTGAATTCCATTCTTGTTTGTTTTTGAGGAATTTGCTTTTGCGAATAATTATCATACTATAGGTATTAGAGAGAGTGTACTCCTTGATATTTTTTCTCTTCATAATATCCTTTCTTTCCTTTATTATATTTTCCGTGATTATAAAATCCTTGATTATGAAATCCTTGATTATGATATCCTTGATTATATTTAACAGTTTCTATACATTTTGGTTAAGTTTTTTGAGTGAATAAAAGAATCTTCTGGGCCAAATTTTACAACAACAATATACCTTTTAACTCCTTAAAATTCTTTGATGCTTCACGATAGTTTTTCTCTTGAATAACTTTAATGGAACCGATGTCAGCTCCAATATTCTTAGCAAGTTTGTCATAATTACTCTTCAGGTTGTTGATTTGAGTGAGTTGTTCTTGCTTCTCAGCCTGATGAGTGGTTATCTCTGATTTTAGTTCGCTGTTCTCTTTCTCAAGTTGCTCAATCTTAGATTGGCCAGTTTCTAGCTCGTTGGATTTAACTTGAGAGTTGTTATTATTTCCTCCGCTTGCTTTAATTGTCTTAAGCTCATTTGCAAGTTGATCTCTTTCCTTAATGATTTCAGTATTAAGATTCTTAAGCTCTTCTATTTTGTTATTATGGGTTTTCTCAAGTTTGGTTCTCTCTATTACTAGCTTTTGAATGTCATTTTTGAGTTTTATATTTTCTTGCACTTCAAAATTATCTTCAGAGACTTCATCTTGCATTTCTCTGAAATTTTGCAATTTTTTTACAGCTTTTAAATTGAAGTAGTGGAGGAACTTATTGAAGATTGCACTTTCTTTCCACTCTTTTGCCAATGAGTCTAAGTTATTTATAATTTTAACGAAACTTACTTAGTTCATTATCAAGCGCTTCGGTCTGAGACCAATTCTGATTCTCTATCAGTTCTGATAGCTTTTTCTGACCTTCGCTTACTCTTTGAGTAAAATTCCCAATGAAATCTGTAAAGCCTTACCATTTGTTCTTTAAGCTTTCATCTTTTAGCATGCATGATTGTATTATACCAATGTTATACTCGACTATATTTAAGAGATTAGGAACTTGAAGGATGAGGAAATATCCATATTATTACAGTCTCTTTAAGATAAAAGGATAAAATTAGTTGTTATTGACGACTGAGTTATTTCATATGATTAATTCTCAAATAAAAGAATTATATTGGCATAAATCACAAAATAATTAAAGTAATTCAGCCCAAACACGCCATTTCTGAACCTACCATATTCCAAAGACTTCTCTATTTCTTCAGGATCTAAAAGAAGGACAGTCTCGTCATCAAAATAGATAGACTTTTTACATCATCCTCAAATATATTGAGAGGAATATACCACATAATGCAACGCCTTTCTTTCTCATTGTGGTGATTGGCAACTCAGATCTCTGAATACCTCCATAATTTATTTTAATATTATAATTATTTTATTAATTCTACCTATTAATACTAATACGGGGTTTTGGGGTTTTGGGGTTTTGGGGATTGGGGG